GTAGGCCTGCAGAAACTGAGGCTGCCCAGAGAGTCCCCATCCAGGATTCTTCTTGGCTTCAAGATCACACCCTGTGTCATCTCGGACCAGCCACCCCTCCAGCCCACTTTGGGCCTCTCAGCTTCTCAAGCTCCAGAAGATTTTAGCCTGGGTAGGCCAAGCAGCCCTCTGCTGGAGTCCCCCATTCCTCATCTCCAGTTCCTCCTTCTCCCTGATTAGGGTAGAAGCTGATGCCAATTGCAGCTTGAGAACCCTCTCCTTGGCCAGGGCAGGAGGGTTGGTCTTCTAGAAAGACTTGAAGGTCTAAGTTTGAACTTGGCTCTGCTTTCAGCTCTGCTTGCGGTTCTGGGTGTGTTAGCAGTGTTGTGCAGGAGACCATCCGAAGGTTAAGGGGGCTCATAGGCACGAGTGGTTAGGACAGCATCTGGCAAGAGAAAAGCATCACAGAACGTTTTCTTATGATCTTGAGCATGTTCCTTGCCCCTGACATGTGCTCATTGGAGCCCTTCCTCTTAAGAGACAGAGGAAGAGAGAAGCAAGAGGGGGCTGATGTGGCTTCTTCTCCCCACCCTCCCAGGGGTCAAAGGATTCTGGGGCTCCCTTTCTTAACTTGGCCCTTTCACCTGGTGCTCCACCCCCTCTTTCTATTTGTGCAGGTGTTCCTGGAAGCATTATTCACAAGAACCAGAAGGAGGAAGCAAACCGAATATCTGTTAACAAACAAACGTGATCTTTCCATATATATGGAACATTGTTCTTGAAAGGTGTGGAGATTTTGATATATTTTTACAACAGAGATGAACCTTGAAGTAATTTAGTGAAATGAAATAAACCAGACACAGAGGACAAATCCTGCCAGTTTCCATGCATACCAAGTATCTGTAGTACTGAGATCCAGAGACAGAACCCGGAGCAGTGGGTATCGGGGGCTTGGAGGGGGCTGTAGGAGCTTGTGGTTTCAAGGGTAGAGAGTTTCTGTTGGGGATTATGGCAGTTCTGAAGATGAGGATGGTGACAATGTTTACACAATGAGGGAATGGACTTAGGCCACCAAATTGTGCACTTAAAATGGGAATAATGGAAAACTTCACGTTATATATATTATATATAGGCATAAATATTTGTATATTGACTTATGTGTTTGTGTGTGTGTGTGTGTGTGTGTATATATATATATATATATATATATATATATATATTTAACCATAATATAAAAGCAGAAATAAATAAAACTATGTCAACAACAATAATAAAGACAACAGTTTGCATTTCGAGTTATGCTGAGGAGGTACCGAGGAGGTACTCATATGGCAGCATTCACTCCTGTGGGGATACAAAAGTGATTCATTTTCCTGGAGGAAAATGAATAGATAGGAATAGATATATATAAATAATAGTAGAATTCTGGAAAGTTTGCCCTGAGCAGGATGATGATGTTGGAGCTGGGCTTTGAAGGATGAGTAGGAGTTTTCAGTTCAGGTCAATGGGACAGAACAAGCCAGGACCTGCAGAGTATGACCTTAAGAGACATCAGTTCTCCCAGCATGGCTGGACTGTGGGAGGCTGGGCAAGGCACAGAGAGGATTCAGGAAAAGGAAATTGGGGTGTGTTGGGGAGGCCTTGGGGCCCATGCTGAGGGCCACGCTGGAGGTCTGTGGCTGTACTGTGTACCTCCCTTCTCTCTCAGATCCAAGGACCCTGCCATTCTGGTCCTAAAGAAATACATTTTATTTTTTTTTAATGGGACAACTCTGGGTACTAGGCAAGCTTATGGAATGACATATCCGGGACAGCCAAGTGCTCAGTGTCCCTCATGTGGTCATGGGATGTCTGCTTCCTGCTTGAACGTCATCTCTGAGGGTCCTGAGCTTGCAATTCTGCTCCTCCCCGGCTTCCTTAGCACAGCTGCCTCTGCATTCTCAGAGCTCCTTAGGGTCTTCCTCCTCCAGGATGCCTCCTGGGCTGAACCAACAGCAGGCAACTGAATCCATCTAACTCCCATTACGTTTAGCTCTTGTCCTTATAGGGCAGGAGAGCAGGGTAACGAGGGCTCTACACTTGGAGCTAGACCACCCAGGTGGGCCCAAATCCCAGCTCTACTACTTAGCAGCTCTGTGAATCTGGATGTTGTGATTGAACTCCTATGCCTCAGTGTTCTCATATGTAAAATGGGGAGAATGTATCTGTTAGTCGTTCTGATGACAGTCCCTGCCCGCAGTTGTGCTTCTGTCATTATTTCCTGGGCACTGGATGGGTTGTGTGTGGAATGGACCCGAGTAAGTAAGTAAGTAAGTAAGTGAGAACTCACTGTATGAAGCATCTCTGAACTTCCCTGGGTGCAGGCTCGGGCTGGGGAGCCTTAGTTTGAATCAGAGTGTGGCTGGAGGAGTTGCTGCTGGCCTCTACTTGGCTTCTGGAACTGAGCTTGCCAGTGAACTCCTGAGTGGCCATTCATTGTTTTCAACTCTTGAGGGAAGCTTTTCCCTGTGCAGCCTTCTTGAGTTATCTCTAAGTTCAGGGAGCAGCCCATATGTCCCCAAGAAGCATTGTCTCTGCCACTTGCCAGAGCAGGGCTGGCTACTGTCGAGGCATGTGTGGTCCTCCTGGGTCCCCTGTACTCTGCTTGCTCTTAAGACATTGCATTCATGGTATTAATCAGGTACCACTGAATTGCGGAGTTGCAGGCTAGGGCTCCATCTGGGTGAAGTTGCAGGCTGGACCAGGCAGGGTCCTGGGCCTCCCTCCGTGGGCCAGCTGTGCGGAAGCTCTGATGCCCTTCTTATTCCTAATTCCACCCTCTGTTTTCACTTGCTCTGCGTCCTGATGAATTCCCTTCCCAGGCTAAAAGTTTCCATCTCTGGGCTTGGCCCCAAAATGAAATTCTTTGGAAACTTTCAGCTGAGTTCACTTAGCTATTGTTGAGGGGGAGAATGGGTGGGGGAAGAGACGGTTTGGGTCCTGCTTCTTTGTGATAACTTCAGATGCAAACTTGGTGAGACCTGGGCTGCTTAATTGGGGTGAGGAAGGCAAGGGGTGTCACAGAAGCAGAGGAGGGCTTGGGGAGTCGGGACCTCCTTGGACCCCAGTCCTAGCTAGGATGAGTCCTGTGGCCAAGTTGCTTTATCTCTCTGGAAACTATTTGCTAAGTTCTGAGGTTGGATCCTCTAAATAAATTATTTCTCAGATGTTTGATACACAACCCTGGTGCTTGCTGATTGATGCCTTAATCTCAGGATATGGCTTTTTGTTTGAAAGAAGCTCTGCTTCCCTCTGTGTGTGTGGGCAGCCACTGGAAGGTTCTAGCTTCTACAGATGCCTGTTCATCTCTGTCAGCCTCCAAATCATAATCAACCACGTGGCCGGACCACAGGAGTCTCAGGCCTGGCCTGATGGAAATTAGGCTGTTGGCCCGGAAGGCATGAGCTTTGCTTAGCCCGCCCTTCCTCTCCCGTCTGTTGATCTGACTTTGTTCTGCGTCAGGGATGAGCTGGTCAGGAGAGGGTACAGAATTTAGAGCCTAGATCTGCACATGTTGTTTGGTTTGGGAAATAAAAACAAATTACTTTGTTGATTTTAGTCCAACAAAGTAAGTTTCTAGAAAATCAGGTTATTGGTCTGGATTTACCTGATTCTTTCTTTCTTTTCTTTTTTTTTTTTTTTACTCTAATATAAAAAAGTTTAAAAAACATCCAGCAATTAGAAAAAAAAATTTGCAAAATGGTCTGTGAATTAGTTTCTTCTAAGAGTGTCTTCCTGGAGCTCTAAGGTGCAAGTTAGATGGGGTGGATGGCAGGACAGCAAGGACAGAGGCCAATGCAGGATTTTAGATCACCAGAAAGTTCCATGTCTTTGACATAATTTCTGACATACTTGTGAACTGCATAAAGTGTGCAAGGAGAGGGGAAGATTTCTGACCTTTAATCAAGAAGATCCCCTAGTATCTCTGGGGTTTCTTATCAGCCCTGCCTGGAGGTAGAGGAATGCATGGAATGACCTTGGAAGGGCACATTAATGCCAAGGGGAAAATGACCAACCCACTTGGCCTAGTGCAGGAGACCACAGACCCCCCAGCAGCAGGAGTGGAGACCTCTGCAGCTTGGCTCTCCCTGGGTGGTGGCCATCTCTTGCTCCTCTTCTCCCTTCCTCTCCAGCCCTGGATGAGGAATCTGCTGTCCAGATTATTTCAGAGGCCCTTGCCTGGTGCTTTTTATGCCTCCTGGCTGCTGAGCAGATGGGTGCTTTGAGGCTCTGCCCAATTTCTGCTCTTATACCACATTCCCTGTGTTTGCTGTCTTATTTGGACCTTAATGAACAAGTTTGGAGGGCAGATTTGAAGAGGTGAGGGACAGACCAGGAAGAGAGATGTTCTGGGATGGGAAGTGCTTATGGGGACCTTCCTTTTGGCTGCTCCTGAAACCTTCTGTATTGATGGTCACTGTTAACTGAGCAGCTATTGCTGGTGCAGCCGCTTGCAGCCCTCTGAGGGTGTTATCCACATTCACCAGCTAGGGAGAGGGAGGTTCTTGCCCCAAATCACACCTTCAGTGATATGTGAAGCAGGGACTGGAATCCAGATTCCTCTGACCTCAAAGACTGTGCTCTTGCCCTGCAGACTAAACTAATCCTTGGTGTCTAGTAGATATGACCAGTCTTTAGTAATTTCCCATAAGTATATAGGCCTACCATGCACTGAACTGGTAGCACTTAGCAAGTGCTTTAACTGCATCCCTGAGTTTGCTCTGCTGTTGCTTCTCATACTTGGGTGCCGAATGCTGAGGATGCTCTCAGATCTGAGGTCCATTTCCCCATGGGGCTGTGGCCTTCAGGGCCTATGCTGCCAGAGCCACGGGTTGACTTCTGCAGGCCTGAGGCATTTTGCCTTAGTGGATCCTTCATAGAAAAATGATATTTTATGACTATGTTGTTATAAAGACAAATACAGTATTATTAATTTTTATTGTTCTTTTTCTTTTGATTTTGAAAGACTAAAATAGAAACAGTTTTGAGGTCGTGTGGGCCCTGGACACTGTGCCTTGTGGAGGACTGGCCCTGTCTGCAGTAATTGATGGGCAGCTCTGAGCCTGGTTCTGAGAACCCCCTGAACAGCTTCTTCATTTGGCTGACTTAGCGACAAACTCCACTCCTCAGCCTGTAGCTCCAAGGTTTGGGAAAACCAGACATATCCCTTCCCCCTTTTCCAGCCTCTTTACCATCTCTCAAATCCTTCGAAGCCTTGTAGGGAACTGATGTGCCAAAGAAGTACCTTCTGGAGAGGCCCTTCTGAAGTCCCTTTGGTGCCCTCCTTCACCCCTACCCCCAAGCTCTGATCTCATCCTCTTCCCTTCCTCTTTTGGGAATGGCCCACTCCACAGTTCAGTGACCCTGGCTACTCACTTTGCCTCCCAGGAAAGCCTCTTTCTACTCTCAGAAGGAGGGTGGAGGGTGCTCTTGGGCTTGGCTCTCCAATTCCTCTTCCTTCCCCATGGGCTTTGTGGGTCCCGGGGCCCTGATGGGGAGGGATGCCTTGCCCTCCAAACACAGTTCTGACATTGTAGGGCCCAGGGTGCCTGTAGAAATGCTGATTCCTTTAATGTATGGCTAAGGACTTCAGAGTTACAAACTCTGAGTTACAAATGTGCACATTTTCTTTTTCTGCAGCAAAATAGCCTTTATAACAAGAGGAAGAATATCTTCTGTTTAGCACTGCAGATTATTACAGTTTTGATGCTGGAACATATGGGGCTGGGAGAGCTGTCCCCGGGCCCTGGCCACCCCGCTGCTCCTCCAACCCCACCCCACTGGGAACCTGGAACTCTTGTGTGTGTATGGGTGGGTGCCCTGGCTGCAGAAGCCCAGCGAGGCTGTCCCTGCAGTCTGGGTGTGCACATGCTCCAGGGGTAGTTTTCTCCAGTCTGGTGCAGGGAGGCTGGTACCTCTGGGCAGAGGTACGTCCAGGTCCCCGGGGTGTTCAGAAGGAAGCACTGAGCATTGGGCTGGAATATTCTTGTGGTTCAGGAACTCCTCAAGCTGCGGAGATCCCAGAGTTCAGAGGAAGGCCCGAGTGGGGCCTTTGGAGAATGGCCCAGGGCAAGTCCGTTGTGTGACTTGGAGGGTGATCCTGTCCTCCACTTCCCCAGGGATGCTTGCTGTCTGGCTAGAGATTTAGATTTGCTGTCTCAGCTTATGCGAGGTTTGCTTATGTCTTAAAAGAAGTGAGCTATAGGAAATGTAGCAGTGGTAGCCTTGTAGCTCATGATCGACTCTCCTGTTGAAAAGGAATAGAACATGTTATTGAAACCATTTATGAGTAAATTCAAGTTATACAAGCGCACTGAAGAAGAGGCAAATCCCTAAGTGCAATAAGGTAGCTTTCTCCCTAATATTTGACAGCAGTTGGAAAATGTTGGTAATTTCATAACCAAAGCCTCGTTGGGACATTTCTTGTGACATACCCACTTAAGTCAAACCTTACAAGGGTATGAATAACTCAACGGGTTTCGCACCAACTCTTTTAACTCTCTAAATGGAGAAAAATGCTGTGAGTGCTGAGTGGTGAAAGCTGTTGCTTTTTAATCCAGAGAGTGAAAGTATTCAAATCAGAGAAACCCCTTTGTTGGTCCTTCCAACACTGCCACCCTCAGTTTAAAATTTAAGCCTTTCTGCATCTTCCTTCCAGATGGATGCAGGGAGGATGGGAGCACACCACACGTCAGGCCCAGCTCCTTGCTTCCAGAGGAATTGCTTTCCAGTCTCCTGAACAATTAATCCAGTTGTAAAATACTGTGTACCTGCCACATGCCAGACACCTGCTTGGCTCTGAATTGTGTTGGTCAGTCAGACAGGTGTGGTCCTCACCTTCAGGATGTTTACACAGACTATTTTTTTTAAGGGTAGGAAAATTCTCAGTCTATTGAAAACCACTTTATTGCTTTAAATCTGAATATAATAAAAACTTCTTTTAGTAGCCGTTTCCCATTAGTAATCCAGGTCTGTAAGTTTCTCAGAATCTGCTTTCAAAAATGGGTCAATGTCCCTAGAATTAAATGCTTTAAGTGGTCAAGGGGCTGAGACTACCTACAACTCACAGGCGTGGGAGCAGACTTGGCTACCAATTCTCCATGGCCCTTGGAAAGAAGTCCTTTCTGTTCTCTGAGACGCAGTTTCCTAACATGCCCAGCAGGAGAGCTGACCTAGATGATTCTTGATCTCCCCTCCCACCCTGACACTCCATGACAAATGTTTTAAAAATAGAAAACAAACAGTATTTTAAGCACAGACCCTGTGTGACTCCGTTGGGCTCACCTTGAAGTGTCCTGCACTAGTGGTAGTCTGGTCTCTTTGGTGGCTGTCTTTGACAGATCAAAGTCTCTTCTCATCCTTGAACTGCTTTGGAAACTGCAGGCAGGATGGGTCCCATCTGTTGTTGGTCTCTGGGACTTTCCAGACCCCTCTGGCTGGAGAACCAAACCTGAGACTCTAGTTCTTACATCTGTTTCAGCACTGGGTGTCCTGGGGGCCAATCCATTCACTAAGGGAATATTTCCCGAGAGTTTGGCAGTGCCAGGCATGGTTCTAGTGTCAGCAGGGAAGATAACAGAGTCCCTTATTGCATGGAGTTTACATTCAAATGGAGACGGGGGGAAACACACACACACACACACACACACGTGCATTTTGATGTTGGTGAGTAGTGAGTGGTGTGAGGTCTAGTGAGACAGGTTAAGGGGAGGAGCATGAAGCAGAAATACCATTTAAGCTTGCGTGACCAGGGAGGCCTCTCCAAGGATGTTACCCTAATCACAGAACTGAAAGAAGCAGGGGGTGGGCCAAGATGATATCTGGAGGAAGAAAGGATATGTAGAGAGCAAAGCAAGAGCAAAGCCCCTGCGGTAGGAGGTGCTGGCTGGGATCCAGGAACAGCAAAGTGTCCAGTGTGCTGGGAGGAGAGAATGGTGGGAAGAGGGCCAGGGGCCCAGAAGTGAGGTCAGGTGGGGGCATAATGAGCTTGCGTTTTAATTGCGATGGAAAGTCTTGGAGGATTTTAAAGAAGGAGGCAAGTATGATGTGACATGGGTTTTAAAAGGATCTTCTGGCTGCTGTGCCTAGAAGACACGAAAGGGAAGCAGAGATAGCAAAGCTTGGGCCGGTTAGGCATGGTCCCTGCAGAGCATCGGAGATGCCGACGGCTTAGTCCAGGTGCAGGAAGTGAGAAGTGCTTGGATTTGGGATACATGGGTGTGGTACAAACCACATATTGGTTACCTGAAATGGTCCCTGGTGCAGGGCAGATATTCAGAAGAGGAGAGACTGAGGGTGGAGAGCTGTGGGCAAGGGGAGGACATCATCTGGCCCTGTGCCCCCTGCCAGCCCGCGTCTCCTGCACTGGTTCCGCTTGCCCTGGCTGTGAGCATCAGGTACACATCCTGCCAGGGTCCAACTTTGTGTTGTTCAACTGGGAGGCTTCTGTGCCTAAATCCATGATCCTTTCCCCCTTGGAGCGGTGCTCTTCTTTGGGGACCTGCCTCTCCCACCCTGTCCCCTTAATGTCTGCAAGCTTTTCCTCTCTTACAACCTCACACCTGCTCAAGATGCTCCTCAGCCATAGCCGGTGGCCACTCCCCCAGGATGAGTGCTGGGCTCCAGCATCTTTCCCAGGATGAGTTCTGGGCTCCTTTGCTCCTGGCACGGTGGGCCTGGCCTGGCCTGATCCTCCTCCCCTCCCCTTCCCTCCAGACTGCTCTCTGGAGAAGCTCCATGGGGCATGCCTCGCATTTTTCATGCCTTTGCAGGGGCTGCTTCAAGAGGAAAAGTGATGCAATACCCAGGCATTGTTGGGGGCATGGCCACCTTTGACCTACAAGAGTCAGGAGATGGAGACTCCACAGACAAAATCCTTCCCCTTCCTCTATATGATGGAATGTTCTCAGGCACAGAATTTACAAGTAGGATGTGTGAAGATGTCCTAAGTGAACAGGAACCTGGCTGTGCCCCTGAGAGGCTGTGGACAGCTTGACAGCGCTTTCCTGGGCCACATCCCTTGTTCTGCATGTAGGCACTGCTTTCCTTTCCTGTCCCTCACTCTCTTTGCTTTGAGATTGCACCTCCCAATAAGCCTTAGCACTTAGTGGGTGCCCATTTTCTTAGAAGCTTTCTTGACCTCGTGTTTCCTGTAGGCTGTATCCACCAGGCCCTCGTCTTTTGGCCACAGAGGTGGGCATGTGTTCTAAGCCAGGCCAGTAGAAGCCCGTGCCTGGTGTCTTTTAAATTCAAACTGGAGGGAAAACAGATATTCCCTCTGTCATTGAACCTGAAGATGTGAGTCTGAGAGCTGCTGGGGGCCAATTCCTAAGGAATGTGGAGGAAACCTATCTGGTGGAAGGGACTGGCCCACGGAGATGAGCAACGGAGATGGAGATGAGCAACGCAGGGGGTTCTGCATCCAGCTGCTCTCGACACCCAGCTGCACCTTGGCCTTCCCAGAGTTTCCTTCTGTGAGGCAATGAATTCCTCCTCTTTCCTGGCTGGTTTGAATTGGATTTCTGTCATTTGCTGTATGAGTCAGGGCCAGCCAGAAAACAGGAGTCACTCTGGGTATGTTATATGGAGAGTTGAGCACAGAGATAGGGGAGCTAAGAAATCAGACGGGAATGAATGACACAGAAGCTTCTAATGCCCCTACCTAGGACAGGAGGGGCAAAGGAGGCAGTGGCATTACTGGCATCCAGGATGGGGCCACCTGGCAGAAGCTGAAACTGTGACCAGCCTGTGTGGTGGGAGCCAGAGGCACCGGGTAGAGGCTCTCATTGAGTTACTTCCTAAAGCGGAAAGGGGCAAAAATAGTTGTTTCCCTCTTCCTGCAGCCTCTCCCTTGCTGCCCATTGTGCAAAGCTGCTCCAAGGCCAGCGGACAAGGGAGCCTGGGAAATGTAGTCTTCTGCAAGGCAGAGTAGGCAGCAAGGAGCTAGAGAGTGGGGAGCAAACAGCAAATGACTGACACACTGGCCATCTAAGAGTGTTCTTGCCACTGTGTCTGTTTTTGACTGTGAAGCCAGGGAGCCAAGCCTGTCAGCTGGAACCCCTGTGTGCCCCTCAATCCCTGTGCTGTAGCTCGAAAGTTCTCCGTAGTCCTGTTGATCGTTACTGAGAGTCCTGCTTCTTTCTAGCTATGCATTGATTTCCTAGTATATCTTTTCACGCCTTTGTGCCCAAATGGGAAATCCACAGGAAGCTGAGTTCATCAGCTAAGGATTCAGTTGGACCCCAGAGAGAACCAGGTTCAATTTCAGAATTTCCCCAGCCAATAACCTCCTTCCAGATGACTCTGAGAAGGTGCCCTCTGAATTCCAGCTTGGAGGTTGATTGGAGTTATGTGGCCAGGGCAGAGGTGCTAAGCCATGCTGGGTGAATTGGGATTTCTCTCAAGTATTCAAAGGAAATTCAAGTTCTCAGGCCAGCCTTGGGAGACTGAGGACAGGATTTCCCTGTTACCTAAAAGTTAATGCAACACTTTGAAACAAAGGAAAAGCATATTTTTGAATTTAAACTGAGTATGGGCTTAGTTTTGATGATGTGGCAAAGGAGGGGTGGGGATGGGGGTCATGTGAGGGATTTTTAGACTCCAGAGTGACCGGAATGGCTTATTGGAGGCCATCCAGGCAGTGGGGTTTGAGGTCCAGTAGAGCTCAGCAAAGAAGTTCCTGGGAACCTAGTGGGGACAATTTGGGGTTTTGCAGATCTTCTGAACAGAGGCTATTTCACATATGTTGGAGGGCAGGCGGCTCTCTATACATCTATATTTTAAAATAAATAAAAGGTTCTCTGAACAAACCACACGGTATTGGACAGACTCACTCTCCCGTTCCGAAGCCTCTGCTTTCTGGCTTTGCAGGAGCCTGTGGTGACTGCTCCAGGCTGGGAGTCCAGGTTGCTGGGTCAGCTTCTGGCTCCTGCTGCCGATTCACTGAAGCTCCAGCGGACAGGCCGCCTGCAGTGCTGGGCCTCAGTTGTGCCTTTCTGAGGAACCGGCAGAGGGCTGGGGCTATTTATTCTGTGAGAACAGAATAAATTTTCCTTGGGGTTATTTGTTGTGTTGTGTCGTCCCCTTTCTCTTTATTCACATGTTGCAGTCCTAACCCCCAGTACTGCAAAATCACGTTACAGTGGGGTCATTAGGGATGGGCCCTAATCTAGTATTACTGGTGTCCTTATTAGAATTATTAAATGGGGAAATTTGGACACAGAGACACACTTAGAAGGAAGACCATGCGAAGACTGTATTTATACGCCAAGGAGAGAGACTAGAACAGAGTCTTGCTTCGTGGCTCTTGGAAGGAACCAGCTTGCCAACACCTTGAGTTTTAGACTTCTAGCCTCAAGAATTGTGAGACAATACATCTCCGTTTTGGAGCCTCTCTGCATGTGGTACTTTGATATAGAAGTCTGAGAAGACGAGCACACTTGGTCTCCTGTCATTTTTCTCCCTGTGGAGGTGTCAGGAGAATCCCTGTTTCCCTTTTCCTCCCGCCCCTTCTTTCCCCACACCCATTCCTGCCTCATCTTAACAAGCTCACATCAAAGCTCTGTGTTATCTTCATCTAGAACCTTTATCACCACTCTGGAAGCTACCATTCCCCTTGGGTATAGAGGAAAATGTTCTTGGTGTCAAGATTCAGCAGAGTGGAGGGATGGCAAGCTTCACAGGTAGGATGGAGGTGAGCCATTGTGAGATGCCACCCCTCAGTAGGGAGGGTTTGAGAGCACCGACGAGGAGGGAGTCCTTGCTACTCCTTCCTCAGAAATCTTGGAGGAAAGTAGGCTTTGCAGGAAGGGCAGTTCTACTTGAAGACAGAGCTGACTCCTGAGATGATTCCCAGGGCCTTGAGTATGGGTTCCCAAATCTGGCTAATCTGATTACCTGGAGAGCTTTATTATTTTTCTACCCCCTTTCATGTTAATGTGCTCTGCAAAATACTCTAGTGAACACCCTTGTATTTATAGGCATTGCTTAAGCAAAATAGGACCAATAAAATTAGAAGCCCCTCAGTACTCCTCTCATTTCATCTTGGGAACTTTAATAATTATACAGATTTCTTAGCCTGGTCACAGAATCTACTAAAACAGAATTTCCAAATATTGGGCCAGGAAATTGTATTCCCCAAGTTCTCCAGGTGATTCTGAGCAGCCAGAGGGACCGGCGCAACTGTGGATAGGGCCAACGGGGCTGCTGGGATTATAGATCCCACCCTCTCCCTCAGGACTCAGATCTACCTACCGGGCTACCTGGCCAGTGGCCTGTCCTTTAGGGGATTGTTGTGTTGCTGTGGGCCTACTGGTGCTGGCCTTGGAGATGAGGTGGGGCCGGAGGGAAATTGGGACTGAGGAAGAAGCTCAGGAGTCAGGGACTTTTGGTGAACAGGAGTGAGTGGGCATTTGCACAGAAAGAAGCCAAAGCGGGGGAGGTCCGAGGCAGTGACCCACCATGGGAACGGCATGGAGGACAGCCTTGCCCATACCGATTCTCAGACAAACTCCTGATAACTAGACAGTAGCTAGCTCTTTACCTCTTTTCCCATCAGTTGGGTTCAGTCCTATGCTTCCTTCACTAGTTACCACCTTGAACCTTTCTACCTCTAGAAAATACAGCTGATGCCATCTTTTTAATTTTATTTGATAACATGCTTATTAGAATCAAGTACATTGATGTGCTTTGAAACCGCAAAGTGTCCAACACTACCAGTCTGGTCTTCAGTGTCAAGATTGAATGTCACCTCTTATCACAACACACAGGACCCCACACCCTTCCCTGAAATCATCTTAGCATACTTCTGCCACCTCTCCAGGGTCACAACAATTGGGACCTTTAAGTCATGATTATTTGCTTCTAGGCTGTTAGCCCCATAAGGACAGGATAAATGTTTTACTCAGGGCTATATCTCCAATGTCTACACTATGATTCACAAGTGCATTTTGCATTAATGAATGAAGACTTTGGACAGAGGTGGCATCGTTCAGTCCCCAGTACCCAGGCTGAAGAGTCTTACCTGGAGTGGGTTTGGGCACAGGACGAGACAGCACAAGAAGGTACTCTGAGTGGCATCTGGACCTGTAGGAAGCTCTGATTCTGGTTTGTTTCTCCAGACAGCCTGGCTTTCCCCACTTCAGCCAACTCCTTGCCAGTTCCTCCTACATCCCAAGGCCTTTGTGACTTGCAGGCATCAGGCTTGACTTGCGTGTTCATTTCAGGAGGCAAACATATAATTCAGGTCATGTCCAGTGCCATTTGGAAGGGAGCTCAGGTTTCCCTAAGTGGAAACAGCATGCTCTGAAAGCAATTATGGGTCGAGAAGCATGTTCTGGAGTGAGACCCAGCATTTACAAACAAAGGTTACCCTTTCTGCCTGGTGACAGGAAAACGCAGCGAGGACAGATCAGCCCTATTTGACCTCAATAGTGTCCTAGGCAGGCTTGCATCATCCAGGGGGCAGTGGGCAGGATTGGCACTGGGATATCTGGCAGCATTCTACATGTTAGTTTGGACCTTGGTTTCCAATGGACTCCCCAGAGTCACTCTTTTTGATGCTAGGACCTCAGAAATAGAACATGATGGGACCCTGGTTAGAAGTGATTGAAACAGTGGACAATTATTTCCCTTTCCATTTCTGTATCATGGAGAAGTTGAGCTGCATGACCTGTAAATAGTTGTATGCTAGTTTGAACACCAACTCTTGGGGAGGGTCAGGAAGCCTGATTTGTAGTGTCTGCTGATTTCCATGGTACAAGTACTTCCATTACAGCCACCAGTCTACAACATGATGTCACTGAATGCAGACTTGGGAAGAAGTATACATGCTCACCTGTTGACAGCTGGTCTGATCGTTGCTAGACTCTGCCAAACTTCTTTCACTGTTATCTTATTGTTAATCCTTACCAATATTCCCCTGCCATGTTTCTGGGATAGCATCTCTTTTACATAAATAGACATTCATCTGTACTTGTGTGGATGCATCCATGGCTGGCCATATGATTGGCTGGTCCCAGTGCAAATTGAAAATGTGGGCCCCTGTTCAGTGGGGAAAAGTGCCATTAAAGGTAATTAAAATAAAGCTCTTTCCTCTCTTCCATGGTTTCTCATGGTGTTTTTACTTTGCCATTTAATACATTTCCAAGGAAATGAGCACTTAAAAATCAAGTTATTATTATCGGGTTTACTCTTCTTTATATTAGCAATGTCAGTTTTAGTTGCATATAAAAGTGTTTAACTATGAAATCACCAAAATTACACACATTTCATTTGCTATTTCATGAAAATTGCATAGTCGTCTTTCATACATGACATAGTAGAGGTCCTCACAAAACCAAGTCCACTATTTGTATTTCACTTTTTGAGATGCATGTGTTCTACCAACTGCACCTCTGCTTATTGATGACAGGGGGAGGGAAGAAGGGCAAAGCATCCACCCACTGTCCTCTCTTTCTCTTTTCTTCTGTGTCATCATTTGTTGTGTAAATAAATGGTTGGCTCATGTAGAGAACCCACATAAGGAAGAAAGGATTTGGTAGGCCTCCTTGATTGTTCATAATTTTCAGAAGCCATTTCTTTCTTTCTGTGTTCAAAGGCAGTTCCAGTTTGAGTGAAAATGTAGCCTTTTGGGGTTGTTGGTGCCTATGGTATTCAGTCATGGCTGCACCCCACTCTGTGCTTGCTTTGCATCTTGCTAAACTGCCATGTATTGTGTGGGGCATTGCAAGTGCTCTATGCCAATGGAGAGCAAGGATTGGTGGGAGGCATTCTCTCCTTTCTCACACCCACATGTATGCCCATGTCGCATTGAATTTTGTTGAAAAAAACTCAAGGATAGAATTAAGAATTTCAAGATGGCGACAGAAAATATCAGATGTAGGATAGGGCCTGGTGAACTTGAGGCCTCAAGGTCATGGGCCCAGGGAGTTGGACTTGGAAAAAACATTGTTTTTTTCCTGGGCTCCCTTTGGTTGTCCATTGCCTGTGTGCTATTACTCCTTAAATATTTTCCATATATAGCTTGCCTAGGAATTTTTCTTTTTAGGGACCTAGAGTCTGAATGCATTCTCATTCCTTTCTCAGTTTCTATCAGGGAAAATGTGCCCAGTTCAGTATAAATTACTGCTATGGCCTGAATGTTGTGTCCCCCTAAGATTAACAGGTTGAAATCCTAACTGCCAAGGTGATGGTATTAAGAGATGGGGCATTTGGGATGTGAAATGGGCTTTCACCAGACACTGAATCTGCTGATATTTTAGTCTTGAATTTCCAGTCTCTAGAAAAAAAAATTTTTTTTTTCTAGAGGTGCAAAAAAATTTCTGTGATTTATAAACTACCCTGTCTATGGTATTTATCATAGCAGCCTCCAAAAGGATTAAGACAGTTAACTTGGGGGAGAAGACAAATGAGATCCTGCCCTGCAGAAACAAAAAGTTTAGCTGGATCAACCTGGCTGTGTGAACATGAGAAGCAGCAATACAGGATATGGTGGATAACACTATCCACCATAGTGTTAGAAGCATAGAATGTACATTTTAAAAGGAGGGAGAGCTTGGCAGAGTGGGGGCTCAGCCAATGTTTGTTAAGTAAAGGGCTGAAAGAAAGTTACACTAGGAAAGAAGACCTGGGGATTCTGTCTTTGGGAGAGGTCCCAGGAAGTGGTGTAGTTTGAGTTTCCCATCCAGGGCTGGGGAACAGAGGGACTCCTTCCTGCTTGTTGAATGACTGAGGTACAAGGGATGCCTCTGCCGCCTCTGAGCCCAAGGACTCAGGTGAGAACAGAGGAGGTGAGTCCTTTGATTCCCAACCCCCATCATGGGATCAGAACGGTCTTCTGATCACACCTGCAGGGCCTCTGGGAGACTCCTTCTGCGTGGAAGTCCAGTCAGGCTGAGCCTGGGAGCTCTCAGGAGTGGGGAAGGCAGAGTGTGGAACCTCAGAGCTGAGGAGGCATCAGGCTTGAGGGTGAGGACAGCTCACTGTCAGCCCTGGCTTCCCTTCAAGGTCCTCAGGGCACAATCTCCCAGCCACCTCCATCACCACCTGTTCCTGCATCTCACCAGGGAAAGGCAGGAGCTAAATCTCCATGGATTTGGCTGTCTGGGGCACAGAAATGCCACCTGGGTCAAATGCCTGCTCCTTTCCTCCAGCTGGAAGGCTCAACTCCCTTCTCGGAACTCCTGGAGCCTTTTCTCTGTGTCTCTGCCTCTACGACATATGAAGCTGCCAACCTTGTGACTGGGTGGCTTGTTTTTCCTGGTGAGTAGGGCCTGGGTGATTTATCTCCATGGACCTTCCTCCACTCCCAGCCTTGTACTTATTTAGCCTCGGGCTGCTGGTGTAGGTGTTGCAACATCCCACGGCTGGAAGGTCTATGTCTTGAGCTTCTGACTCAGGTGGTGGGTGGGCCACTGGGCTCTGTGGGGCTCTCCCTGCGGCGGGGTTTCTTTCATTCATCAGGGTGCAGGCGCCAGCATATATCCACAGGTGCAGAGAGGGGAAGCCGGGAGTGAGCTGAACAGGTCAGCTATGTGCTGAGCTGGGCTGGAAGGGGGGTGTTGGAAGGCACATCCTGTCCCCAGCAGATCTCCAGGTGGGAAGAGATCCAGTCCTGACAAAGGGTGGAGGAGAGAGTGCAGGAATAGGAGCCATGCAGAAACCAGAACTGCTATGGGATCCTGCCGTGCAGCCTGCTGAGTTCCCTTTTGGTCACCTGTCAAAGGAGAACAATAATTAGAAAAGAGAGGAGGGAAGCAGAGGACTCGGTGACCTCCTCTGCTTTCAGCATCTACCTGCTCCTTCCCCATCCTCTGGACCTTGGTCTCCTCGGTACTCATCCTACCCTCTTCCTCCTTAGGACCTTTAGGAAGCCCCTCAAACCCAGGCGCTCTCCTTTCCTTGCTTCTGTCTGCAGTCAGAACTACAATAACAATTCCCACTTAGCAGGCACTTACTGTGCCCTGTGCCTTACTAGGCTCTTTCTATGCATTAGCCTATGGAATCCTCATGCCACCCAAGGAAGGGGCATTTCTATCATCCCCATCCACTCCATGAGGAAATAGAGGCTCAGAGAGATCAAATCACTTGTCTGGGATTGCAAATCAGGAGACTGAAGAGCTGGGTCTAAAGGCAGGTTTGCTTATACCAAGGTTGTGGGCTGTTGGCCACCACATTCACTAGTTTCCTGAATACCTTGCTCCTCCATCTCGCATTCTGGACCTGTGGATCCCTGTTGGTGTCTGGCTGGTTAATTTCAAAGCTGTTTAGAGAGAAGGGTCTGGCACTGTTCAATGCTAGCTTTTAGCATTTCAACTGACCTCTTGGGTTTGTGGCCTTGCTATAGGGAACTTGTAATGTTGGAATGCTAAACTGGATGCGAGGCTCCCAGGGCCTGCAGAGATCAGCCCTCTGCAGATCGGCCCTGCCCCTCTTTGCCTGTCAGCTGAGCCCATTCCCAAGCAGTGGCTCTGGTGGTGGATGGAGGAGGTGTACAGCTTGCTCTGACCTTGGGGGCCCCAGCACAGATGGAGCTTATTTAACTGGCTCGTTGGATTTGGGGATGGGGCTGAGTGAGACAAAGGGCACCCCTTTGGCTTCCAGACCCATGGGGTCTTGTAGTTCCTTCAGCCATCAGCTTTGGGCCCCCTCTCGGCAAAGTGAGTAAGATTTGGGATGCTTGTGTCACAGGCTTCCATGGCCAACCCTACAGAATAGACTCCTCCAGCCCCAGAGAGCCAGTGAAGGTCATGACCTCCGTGAGATACTGGCTGGAGACAGTGTTTTTCCACTCACTGGCCGAGGGGCAGCAAGGCCATCGACCCACAGCTCTGTCCCATGACTGAGGACTTTGTTTTCTCATCTGGGGGACTAGCTCTGTAAGATCAGGCACATCTCTCCTCTCCACTGTTCCTGGGTTTTCTCATCTGTAATGAGGAGATAATGTATCTGCTCTCTGACTCCCAGAGGGCTGCTGGGAAAATACTTGTGAGATAAGAAACACATGTTGACAAGTGGAAACTACTTAAGACATAATGAGCTTCAATGAGATAGTCCTTGGATACAGAGGCATGAATTAGACTCTGGAATGGCCATTTGAGGGTTTCTACCTAGGCAAGAAAGTTTAATAGAAATGTATCAAAAATTCATAATTGGATTATTATATCATGACGCAGCCGGTAAGAACAATCAGCTCACTCGGATGCCATATTTGATCTACAATACATTTATGACTCTGTGGTGAAGAATAAGCACTATTTTTAAGCCTAAGTAAGGTATTATACCTTGATAAAAGGCAGACTTCTACGTAGATTATAGGAAATAAAGAGTTGGTGCAGCTCCGATCCTGTCGGAAGTTCACAGGTATGTACCACTGTGCCCGGTTAATCCTTTCTTTAAAAAACGTTCCAACAAAT